TAGTATACTAAGTATTATATCTGTGATATTCTTGCAATAACTCTGTAGCCTACAAGCTCACTATTCAAGCAAGATAGTCAAGCTCACTTATACAGCTTCTCAAACAACTATCTCTACATGACACTGCTGACTAGTCACTGCTTCAGTTCCGCCATGTTACAAGAGCTTTGATTTCAGTTCAGCAGTCTCAGCTGCTTTTCTTACTGCTTTAAGTAAACTCTCTGAGAGATTCTGTATATCTTTCAGTTCAGATAGCAGAGAAGAGTGTTATTTATATTAACTAGAAAAGATATTCATTTTAATAATTTCTTATTAATTATACAATGTCTATTATTATATCACTATATTATTATATCACTATATTATTATATGATTTCTGTTATTATTGTACAACTTCAGTGATGATCACTCTTTCTTTTATTCTTCTTTTAAGTAGAGAGTGAACTTCTTTAAATCTGATTCACTACTCTTATTTTCTTTCTCATATCTCATCTATTCATGTATCATATATAACATTCATCTGAATGTGAAGTTTTCTCTCAATAAGTGAAGTAGTATCAATCAGATACTCTTTCACTTATCACTCTTTATACACTATCTTTTAAGATGTTTTAGAATCACACTGACATGATAACTATGAATTACTTTGTAGACAGAATTATCACACTCTGAAGAAGTCTGCACTTCTCACTAATTTTTAGACATGCTATCAGATGTGATTCAAAGGTTGCTTGAGTCAGTGTATAATTGCAGATATACACTGACTTCTTATATACTGTATACTAACTTAATTGATGGCCGCTATGACCTCTTTACATTTGTAAGCAAGTTCAGAAGCGGCCGCATTATTATCCGGTGGTCATACGTTCTTCCGAATCACATATAAGATCTATGATAAGAAACTTCTTATAATTATACACTATCTAGAAGAATGAGACTCTGAACTCTGAAGTGTCTTTAAATTTGAAATAATCACTGATTATAAGAATCTCAAGTATTTCATAATTATCTATAAGCTTACTGAATAACAGATACAGTGATCTGAGCTATTAAGCTGTTTTCATTTCACTATACACTATCACCTCAGCAGTCAGAACTCAATGATAGATAATCTCTTATAACAAGAGCAGAATATGTTATTTAATATAATAGACATGTGTTGAATGAACTGAGAACACTGACTCTTAAATCTGAAGATATTAGTTAATCACAATGAGATTACTTATGATACTATATATACTCTACTGATTAGAACATCTCTTCTTCTACACTGAATGAATTATGATATATAATAGCACAAACTGATGAACTTCTTTCAGCACTCACTGAAGTAGTATATTAAGAAGCACTCTGATTCTCTTCAGAACTATGTATAAGAACTGACATCTCAGAATGCTCAATTGATGACAATAATACTCTATAATTTTATAAACAACACTGAGTCTCTCACTCTGAATTCTTGTGCATCTGAATAATACAAGAGATGCATGATTCTTGTATAACTGATTATTCAGATTGTGAATAACTGTATTAAATAATCTCTTGAGAGTTTTACTGATCTGAGATATTAAACAGTATCAGATATTTTGTCTGAAACTGTAACTATTATTCTTCTATCATCTTATAAAAGAACTGTAGAAAAGATCTGATAAAATTACTTAATATCTCTGATAGAATCTGATGAAATATAATAATTGACTTCACTATTAATCTCTCTAAGAGTAAGAATTATAGAAATGTTCTGATTATTATAAACTGATTAAATAAAGATGTAATATTGAAATCTTATAATAAGATAAATACTGAACAAGTCACTGAAGCTTTTCTACAGAGCTTATTCTATCAGATACATGAATTACTGAGATCTATAGTATCAGATTGAAACTGTTAATTTATAAGCACTCTCTGAATAAGAATCTGTCAAGTTCTCAAGATTATACACTGTTTATTAACTGTCTATTACTCTGAGACTGATGATGCATCAGAATAGATAATTCAGACTGTAAAGAATTATCTTTATAAGTTCTATAATCACTTATAAGATAATTGATATGATCTTCTTCTACACACTGAAGTTACTATTAATGACTGAGATACTGTTTTAACAGGTGTAAGCCTGTTCTTTCTCACACACAGATATCACATGAAGATATTGAATCTTCTAGAGATTATATATTTCATACTGAATCTCTGCAGTCTGATTCAGATCACTGATAATATAGTAATGAAGTTCTGAGACATCTGTGATTAAGCAGAAGTCTTTATAATAAGTGTTAAATAGAATTAAGAAAATCAAACTAATATTTACTGAGATTCTGCTGAGTAATATGAGATAGAAGACCTGATGTGATTGAATCTTAAGAATATATAAATCACATACTCATCTCATACACTGAATTATCATTATATTAAATATAAAGTGATAGAAGTTCTAGACAGTTATAATTACTATCTTAATACATTATCAGAGATTTATAATGTCTTTCATATAAGCTTACTTCATTACACTGTCACTGACTCATTTCCTTCTCAACTGACTTTTAATTAACAGTCATCAGAGATTGTAGAAGAAGATAGTGAACTTAAGTGAGAGATTGAAGATATTCTCAATAAGAGATTCTACAGCTATGACTGACAATATCTTGTGAAATAAGTTAGCTATGATTATGTAATCTAAACTCTGAGCTTTATAATATCTGAAACAGCAGATCTTAACTGATAAGAACTACATATAATCTCATCTCTGAAAAAAGAGAATTAATGTGATAAGCTGCATCTGATCAATTATATAGACTATTTTATTACACTTCATAGATTCTGCTAAAAGCTTCAATTCTCAGTTATTAATTCTTAGCTGAAAAATTCATGAAATTTCTATTCTTTCACTCTGAAGCTTTACTGTGTACATGTATAAATATTCACTCTGATTATTAATTTCTACACTTTCTCTTTCTTTTCTTTTCTAATGTTTTTTACTTTGTTACATAAGATCTATAAATATTATACTGATCTATTCAGTGTAAACCTCTTATATTCAGTCTTATTCAGTTTATTCAGTGATTGCTTATATAATCAGAATTTGATAATAATTATTAATAACACTTATGAAATAATTAAATATATATTTATATAAGTTTATTCTTTACTTTTTTATAAAAACTATACTTTTCTGATATACTGTGATCTAGACTAGCTGCCGGGGACTATAAAATTTCATGTTCGCTCGCATTTAATCCGATCTCATACATTTCTTGGCATGAATCCTGCTGGGACTGGCTATCAAAAAAACAGGTAAAGTGTCTATATCTCCGATCTCAAAATGAAATCATGACGTAAAAAAAGTAAGAAAGTGATCTCATTAGATCTCATTAGTTTCATCTTAGCATAAAGTTACTATTTTAGACATTAAGGTTTTTTTTAGACTATTTTTAATTTTTTAAAAAGTAACACTTTTTGATAAATACTCAAATGAGATTTAAAGTCATTTAAAGCAATAAAAATAATTTTAAATTGAGAAGTGAAAATCATGATCTCATTTGAAAAATGTGATAAGAGTAGACAGTAAGTCTCACTGAGACAGTATGAAACTACTATCTAATGTTAAAACTATGTAATGAGATCAGTTAAATTAATAATAAGACTATCAAAAAATCTGATTCTAATCTCAGACACAGTCACACGGTCAGTCTACTGTGATCAGAGATATTAAACTATCTGATAATTTCATATTTTATAATTATAAGTTTCTTAATTATTTCTTCTTAGAATTATCTCTGATAATAGTGATAAATATCTTAACTTGAGTTAAACTTTCACTTTATTTTCATCTCTGTTAATAAAATTGTTAAAATATTATATATTATTAATATAATAGTTAAATATATATTTTTAACTAGACTAACTGTATAACTGTGTAACACAGTTTGTATCTGAGATTAAAATTAAACTTTATAGTTATTATATTATTTAAAATATTACTTCTGATTATAATATAAGTTTATTATATTAATTTTAAATCACTTTTATTTCAAATATTAAAGATCTCAGATTTACTTTTTAAATAAAGATTTAATCTCAGATAGACTAACTATATAACTGTGTCTGAGATCAAAATTAGAATATTTAATAGTCTTATTATCAATTTAATTAATCTTATTATATAATTTTAACATTAAATAGTAGTTTCATACTGTCTTAGTAAGACTTACTGTCTACTCTTATTACATTTTTTAAATAAGATTATGATTTTCACTTCTCAATTTAAATTATTTTTATTACTTTAAATGACTTTAAATCTTATTTAAGTATTATTAAAAAGTGTTACTTTTTAAAAAATTAAAAATAATCTAAAGAAAATCTTAAAATGTCTAAAAATAGTAACTTTATATTAAGAATTAAACTAAATGAGATCAAATAGAATCACTTTCTTAATTTTTCTAAGTCATGATCTCATTTTAAGATCTGATATATAGTCACTTTGCATGTTTTTTTAATGATTAGTCCCAGCAGGATTCATGCCAAGAAATGTATGGGACCAGACCAAATGAGACCAAACATGAAATTCATGGTCCCGGCGGCCAGTCTACACCCACGGATGTGGTGGGTTTTTAGCGTAGGCACGTGTATTCCATTTTGTTTCTAACTCCGCGCAACGAGTTTATTCCAACTTCTGTCGCCGCGGATAGTCAACAATTTGTTTTAACCTAAGGAGCCTGTTCCCTTTCATTTGATTTGGGCCATGGTCTGACGAATACAGACAGACGTCTGGCCCCACAAACATCCTGCTGTTCCAACATCCACCGTTGGAATATTTTAACACCGCTAATTCTGCTAATTTCATAAAGTATGCTATGCTCCCTGTCCCTTGATCTGTTAGGCCAATATGAGCAATATTATTTTAGACTCACACGACGAGAGAGTCCCTGTTGCTTTAAGGAGCGCATTTCCTACCAATAAATACTTCGTTCCCCAATGGATATGTACGAATCTGCTGAGAATATCTGGGATTCATTTCATCGTTGCTGCTTTATATAAAATTTACTCTGTAACCTGTTGGGAAGAATGGATTTATAGTGTGTGGGAACAATGCTTCGTACTTACAGTCGAAAAGGGAAGGGGAAAGATAATAAAACGAGGTTAATAGGGCTCTTGAATTCGATGGGCTCAAGTATATATAGATAATATTGTACAGTACAGACCGAACTGTCTGGGGAATAAACATTAACGTTGTTTATCTAGGGTAGGTGGAAACCCGCAAGGGCAAGGTAGCAAAAAGCAAAGAACCCTTCTCAGACCAAAGCCTCCTATGCCTTTCAAACATGAACAAACGGTGTATAGTAAAACATTCAGTCAAATCAAAATGAAAAGTCTTCTGATTTCTCTTAAAAAGGGAGAAAGAAGAAGAAAACAAAGAGTAAAAGAGAAACCAGTACAAAAATCTACGCCTGTCTATTATTGCCGTTAAGTCGCCATGCGCGCAGTGGTAGCTGTTGCACCTTCAGAACAGCGGGTCTGATATATAGGAAAAATGTAACTGCGCCGATAATTACACATATGATGTTGGTGGTATAATACCCGTCGCGATATACCTGGCAAACACCCTTGCCAGCTTCACAGCGATGCCTGTCCGCTTCAAGCGCGCAGGAAAATTGCGCCGTGAGGGGATCCTTTATGCCTGCGGGTGTTCGTGTGGGGGGTATGCAGGTTGCGCTCGTGAAGAGATCGACAAGTTTGAGAATGAAGAATTTGGGGAACGTTCCACCGAGGTTGGAGACACTGTGTGACAGATATTTAGCTTTAGATTATAAACCATTTTTCAGAAGGTATGGGGACTAGAAGGGTGATGAAAAGTGGGAAACTCACGTTGCGAGGAGGGTCATGTAAGTCCCGCCGATGGCGGGGTCGGCAATGCGTGCATGGAAGGCGGAAACAGCAACAAACATAACGGTCATCATGAACGTAGAGAAGACATGTTCGGCAATAACTACCAGGATATACCAGGTCGGCATTGGTCCGCCACCACTCGGGAAGACCATGACAACTGCCTGCGCGAGAAGTGCGGCAAACAGCCGGGCAACAAATGCCCAGCACCAGAGCCTCATTGGGGTATACTTGTTCGACCATTTGCCAGCATAGTATCCTAACCCGATCTCGAATGGGAAATCGATCAGGACGACGAGTGCCATGTTCTCTTGGCCAAAGCCCTGGTCAATTAGTTTTAGACTGGTCACGGCATCGTTGGCTTGGAAGCCGATTTTGGCGATGAGGTGGACAATGATAATGGTGTGAATGCTCTTCAGCTTCAATACACCCCACATGCTCTTATAGACTGCAAGGATGCCATCCCGATCGTTGGATTTCTCCTCTTTCTTCCGGATAGCTAGAACTAACGTGACAACGATATAGAACCACCCCCAGAATGTAAGGTAACCGCCCAAGGTTATAAGGCCAGTATTGCCATCCAGAGTGCGGAACCATTTGTTGGCGAAATCTTTCGAGTTCAAGGCCAAGAAGACAGTGTATGAAAGAAACTGGCCGGCAGTGAGACCAACCGTCTGGGCCGTGGAAGCGTAAGAGATATTCTGGGCCGACAAGAGGGAAATAGCCCAGCCGTCAACCGCAATATCCTGCGTCGCACATAGGAACACCAAGAGGAACCACCAGCCAGTAAAGTTCCAAACACCTGCACCACCATCTGCGCCAGCAGCTACCATCATTTTATCAATGCTACCTCCCAGATATAGCATTGCAATACCGGATATCATCTGGATGGGCGTGATCCAACTTTTCCTCCGCCCAAATCTTCGACTCCAAACAGCATCTACAATGGGACTCCAAAGCAGCTTCAGGGAATAAGGGTATGACGCAAGGGAGAATATGCCGATTTGGCCGTAGGAGAGGTAAGGTTTAAGAAGGAAAGGCACCGATCCACCAGCCAGCCCCATCGGCACACCCTGCAAAAAGTAGAGAAGACATAATAGTACAAAATTCCGCTTGTCGTGTACGGGTAGATCGCCAAAGCTCGTAGTTGTGGTGCCTGGAGTTTGTGGTGTGGGAGGTTCATGATTAAGCGAGAAATCCGATCTGTTCATGAGCCGGACTGTCTGGGTAGCTGAGGGAGCTGAGTCGAGGGAATTGTCCTTCCTCCGCATTTCAATAGTAGAAATCATGTCACTCTCGGCGTGGCCGTTTTCCCCGGCGGTTACGACGGCCAGGCCCGGCCTGTTGGAAGGGCGACGTTTGAGTGATCCCACCTTTTTAGAGCGCCTCATCTGAAGATTTCTTGGGTTTGGTTGACCAAACCGCGAGGGGGAAATCAGTTGTGCGCCTCGTTGATGACTTCACTGGGCCGGAATTCAGATACGTCTGTGTTGTTATTTGTACAATCCTCGTTCGTGTTCCGCTTTCCACTCTCCTCTTTCTTCAATATTTCCCGAAGCTTCTTGTAATCCTGCCAAGGAAACTTTATCGCGATGACCAGAGGCGGAAGAACTATTGGCTCTGTGACCCTGAAAGCGAGCGGAAGACAAGGGGCTGGAGTTGGACGTCCTGACCCTAGTCGGAATCAATGGTCTGGCAAGAGTCGGAAACATGGAGAGGCAAGCCGGAGGAAACGAAAGGCGATTTTTGCGCGGGAGGGAGGGATATGGCGGGAGTGCGGGCTCACCTTCAGAGGCGGCGTCCATGGGGCGGCGGAAATAATTTGAGGCAAGTTGGCCTCTGCGCGGATCTAATGGCTTAGCCCGCTGCCTAGATTGCGGATCACTGACGTGTTGGCTTTGTTACGTGCTGGCGGATGTGATAGGACAGACAGAAGCGGAGATGTGGATAAGCGGGGCTGACTAAGGGCTCAGGTAAGCAAGAGCCGCAGGGGCTCTGTTTCAATTTTAAAAACATAGATACATAACTTACATGGAGTGGCGGCCTCGTCCCAAAGACGCTGTCTCTTGCAGAGTTATGTAGACGAACTAGTAGCAAGACACAGACTTGGGCCGATGCGGGAGCATAAATTATGTTTATTTACATCAGATAGAGCGATTTAAATTGGGATCAATAATATAAATATCCTATATATTACCTGGCCAGGAGCCTCTTCCGCTTTTTTCACTATCCAACAGCATCTTCCCTCTATTCGCTAATGCAAACCCCATATCGAGCAACAATGACATCAGCACAAGGGAGTCCCCACGCTCATTTCTTTAGACATTTCCAACCACCTTCCTTCAGCGGAGAGTAGCCGGCTACTTTTTTGTCCTATGGTCGACTCGGACGCTGTGGCGCTATTTGCGATTCGTTCGCGGCCAGAAGTGGCAGCGCATGAGTAAAACAATGAACTTCCCTCATCACAATTGTCCACTGTTCAAATTGAAACCACCGCCTACCGCTCTATGACTTCTAACTAGTAAAAATTAAACAGCCACCCAAAAGAACCATTCAAGTCGATTGAGCAGACGCGTGAATGGATGACATTCAAGACCTACAAACAGGGGCCCCCAGATATCGTGGGCCGTTCTTTCAACTTCGCCATCTTGGACAAGTCGATTCCTGAAACGCAAGAGCAACTCATTGGCTACGTGAGCGTTAACATGGTAGTCCCCTGTCCTGAGATTAGACACTCACTTCCCCTTGAATCGTGGGCAAAGGGATATGCCACCGAGGCGTTGCAGATGATGTTGAAGATCTGGTGGGATCTCCCGAGGCGGAATGTTACTGAGCGCAGTGGAGGTGATAGTGGCGATGGTGAACGTGCGGACAAAATTTATGCCACTTGTTAGGCGGGAAATCATGTGGGTTCGAGATCGTCCAGGAGATCACCTATGGAGGTGATGATCTTCTTCTATTTGCTACAGAAAGGCCTAAAGCATAGAGAAATGCCCCTATAAAGAGGCCTGTGGCTAATGGTAACCTTTGCTGGGGTGGATGGTGCTGAATTCATGGATACGTGTGGTCTGTTATATGGTCTGTTTGTTTGACTTGGGTTATGTAACTTACTCGCTCTGGTTTACGTTGGGAACTGATAAGGCTTTGCTCGTCGATTTATTAAGGCTCATTTGTCACATTGTAAAATAAAGGAATGAATTTAACAACGATGTAACTTCAAATGTATCTCCAGGGACCAATGAAATTTGGCAATCGTTGACTACTAATTGATACAACGGTCCGCTATGTTTGGTACGGGGTCAAACTTGTGTATACAGAAAACTTGACCTCGCTAAGTGCGCCACTTGACCTCATTACATAATCATGACCCCGACCTCACACAATACAGTAATAATCAGTTGATAATTGACTTTCAACCTTTCAATTCATTCATCCACTCAGCTTATCAATCAATCAAAGCATGTATAGCTGATTCATAATCAATTAAATGAACTGATAAATTCATATAGAATATAAAGAGATATTTTACAGAATTTTAAAATATATCAAGATAAAAATATTTAATAATTTCAGTATTAAATTAATTTTAAATTGATTTTGAATTGATTTTGAATTAATTGTTAATTAATTATAGTAATAAAAATAAATTCAATCTATATATTTAAGTAATTAATAATTGATTGAAAATCAATTGATAATTAATTCAGTGTAAATTATATAAATACCTACTTTATTATTAAATTCAAGAATAATTTCAGTATTAAATTGATTTTGAATTGATTTTGAATTAATTCTGAATTAATTGTTAATTAATTATAGTAATAAAAATAAATTCAATCTGTATATTTAAGTAATTAACAATTGATTGAAAATCAGTTGATAATTGATGATAAATAATTGAGTGGTTTCAAATTACAAGAAAAGATGTATTGAGCGAGGTCAGGTAGTGGCACGGGCCACATTTGCGAGGTCAGCTTACATAGAGGTCAAGTGGCGCACTTAGCGAGGTCAAGTTTTCTGCTTCCTGGTCAAACTTTCAGGCAAACCTTGGGACATAGCCTCTGTAATCAGGGGGCCGACCAAATGAAGCCTTTCCTTGGCTCCGCCGTTTTCTAAGTCACTTGGTGTTGAATACAAAGTTTGGTGTCCTACTTAGGGATGCCATGTCGCGGGGCAATCAAGGGGCTAATCATCCTGGCTATGTGCCTTTGTCGGAATGGGTATCTCGGATGAATATGTCGGAAACATATGAATCTCATGTGTATCAAGATCTGCTTCTTATATTCTCTGTACTCTATCTATCCTAGCTAATTGCATACAAAATATGGCACTATTTATAGGAAAATGAATGTGTGAGCCAAGAAGCTAGCATTAGCAAGTATTTAATGAGCAATTGTAGTAGGCTGATGATGATAAGAAAAATAGTAGTAATACAATGTTGGTGGCGTTCATAGCGCATGACCTCTTATTTCCCAACAGCCTTTCATTGAAACAACACCTTGCCTTCAATAGGGCATACTAATTGGCATACCAGATCCAATAGAAACGTACAATGTGGAATGAATCCGCCTGCGATATAGCTACGAATTTGCATCTTCGTTTTATTTGGGCTGTAGTTTGCAATTGGAGTGGAATTTTCCAACGCATTCTATCTGAGGGAGGCACCTACTTTCCTATGACTTGGAAGCACTTGAAACTTCAAATTATAAATGCCATATCTAGATATCTTGCACCGAAAACAGAGAATCTTGGTATATGGGGGTCCAGCAATAAGGGGCATATCAATTTAGTATGCTTCATGAGCGCAGATGAATACAGAGATTATGGGCACACATTAACGTGAAGAAATTATGTCCAATATATCCTAGAACTTTTCAAGATCAAGAGCAACAACATGTCTATTTCCCGGCATCTCCATTTGTGCCCACAGCCCATACCCCTTCTGATAAGACAAGTCCTCCGGCACGCCAGAGAACACGTCCTTATACCCCTCCTGTCCGTCCTCCCATGTAAACGTCCACAAGCTACCACCGCTCTGGGTCAGGAAGTACTTGTTGTTGATCATGATGCTGCCCTGGATTTTAGTGAGGGAATGCTGGACAGCTCGAGAGGCAGTTGCGATGTTGTCGCCATCGACTTTAAGTAAGTGGCTGCTTTCGTCGAGATCCCAGTGTGTAAGGCGACCGGGGCCACTCGGAAACCATTCACCGGTAACAAGGCTTGGATGTACATTAGAGCTTCATTTCGACAGTATACGGGGGTGTATTTACTTCTATGAATATGTACGTACCTTGGAGGGTTGCTAGTCTTGTCAAGTCCAACGAAGGAGAAATGCAAATTTTTGACACCTTCTTTCGGCTGCCACTTGTAGGCTCGCACTTGCGGTAGGACATATCTGGAGCGAAAAATGTTAAAAAGAAAATCGGCGGCAACTGTCGAAAGGGATCTGTTTACCTGTAATTGTGTGCTTGATACTCATTTCCAACACGGCCAATACCGTCTCCGATGGCAACTTCGTAGATGTGCCTCAAATCGAAGACCAGAAGTCCCCCTGTAGTCGCGACCACATAGAGGTAATGCCCGTACCAGGCAATCCCACCAGCATGGAGGCCACTAAGCGCTTCGAAATTGGGCTTTGACCCACCCTCGGTCGGCCGAACAAGGAGGATATTGCGGTAGGCTCTCTCAGCTCCTTTATTCATGTTGATGAAGGAGATGCGCGGACCGCGTTTCCCATCATTATAATTATCCGAGTGCCAGGATATCAGGGTGGCGACGTCGCCTTCATAGTCACCCGTATCGGTTGCGTCTGCGGTCGTGGTTATGCCTTGAGGATACCACTTCCGTGTGTTGACATCATCATACCCATCGACGTCCTCCCACGTAAAAGCTTGCAGAGTGTGCTTCACATCTGGAGAAGAGTCTGGGTTTCTATGATTAGTGGTTGCCAGGACTTGTTTGACCGATTTGATGGGCAGGACCTTATCCAGGTCTTTTATATTGTCAGAGCATCCAGTTGCTTTGAGCTTGTAGTCGTTCACGGTGATGTTTTTGAATTCTGCGGCCGCTAGGGGCAGCGCGCAGAGGGCTGCAACCGCGGTGAGAAGCAGTGAAGGCAAGACCACCATGTTGTCTCTTGATAGTGGGTTGAGAGCGGGTTGGAAAAGTGTTTCTTGATTCTACATCATGCAGGCCAGGGCGAGCCCGGGATGGCCTCCAAGTCTTATATGTGCATGCTCAGCCATGTTGATCGTCGCCGCACGGGATGGCGAAACTTGATCACTCAATTCCAAGTTTGCTTCTGCATGTGTGTATGTTACTCTTTTGTGTGCTGTGCAAGCGACTTGAAACGTCCTAAGATCACGAACTTTGCTGACACAAGTGGAATCGGTGCTGACAGCGATTGGCCTTGCACTTGATCGAATTGGTCTGCGCCTCGTCTAGGCTGTTGCAGAGTGTCGAAGAGCATTGTGTGATGTCTGTTATTGGTGGATGAGGAGGTTAAGCGGGTTGTGGGGGTACGAGGTATCCTAATAGAGGGGACAAGCGACACAAGCTTGGTACGGTACAAAAAATTATGCATGAATAAAATATGCACCAGGCGTGTATTTTACACGTGCCAAGGAATTTATTACCACGCTCAAGCCTTGGCATCAACATCACCAAACAATCGATGTTGATCATCAGCACAACATCCACGACGAGACGGACAACCTAGGAAAACCCAATGCCCGTATCTGCGTGGTAAATGACGTCGCTATGTCTGTAGATGTGCTGGATACCACTGTGCCTGACATAGACGACGTGTCAAGCGGCCTCGACGATGAAATCGCCGCACTACGTGCCCAGAGTCAGTTCACCCTTCGTTCCCGCCCGGCGTTTGTTATTGCTGACAGCATTCATAGTCCACAATCTCTCCAATCGCAGGCAACTCCTTTCATCAAGCCTCCTATCGACCAATACCGTACAAGATGTGCTGGCTCAGCATGTTCCGCTCGGGTTGGAAAAGGATATAGAACCTGTCATCCTGAGTAGCGGAAAGCATGCCCAAACCAACCACCATCGCATTACCTTCTCCGTTACATCCTTTCCTTTTAAGGACCCTTCGCCTCACGCGGCGTCATCCAACTTACTAGGTATTCGAATTGACATCTGCACGCGCCATGGAACCTTTGTTAAACCATACTATCTACTGTTAAAACGCGTTGGCGGACCGGAGAAGAAGTTCCTCCAAGTACATCGCCATACCATTCCTATCTTCGTACCATTGACTCAGCTGGAACAAAGATACCTTTCTGTGCCCCGTGGCACAAATGGAGCGGATTCCGCAATTGCGAAATCGCGCAAGACTCCAAAGCAGGATTTGCGTAGCCTCGTGCGAGAATTAAGGCAGGAGCTGGTCGCTTGGCATTTGCGCTGCGATGCGCTCAAGTGGTTACAAGAGGAACTTGGTATCCCGGACGAGAGCGGCATGGATGAGTCGCAGGTGTCGCAGCGCAACCTTCATGACGACCCGCGGCCTGAAAGCGATTTGGGGATTGTATCCGTTAATGCAACCGCTATCGAGACGAGATACATTCGCATTGAATGGCGGGATGGCCGTGTAGGCCGCATAAAACTCTCCAACAAGGGATATGTGGAGCGCGCTATTATCATTGGTGATGAGGGCAGAGATAAAGTGACCGAAAACTTACTGACAGGGGGTGACGGGCGGATCGAAAGTGCAATTGAAAGGTTGCGCGGTGCCTTGAAACCTGGATGAGTGGGTCATACATAGCGGCTAATTCGGAATAATTGAAAACCTAACGCATTGTGTCATTGTCACATATGCCCAACCTAGCTGTATGATGACATTTATGCTCGTTGATTGGCCGCTGTGGTTTCTACTGACATGTCCCTCTCCCCGATTGCCAGGCTCTATCCGCAGTGAGAACCCATCTCGTGGTATTTATTACCAAGTACATGCACACTACGGCGATCACTACTGGTTCTTAATCATAATCAGTCGCATGCGGGCTCATCATTACGTTGAAACATCCGCGTACGCTCTGCGTATCCACCGCTAGCAGCTGTAGCCTCGATTTATTACTAATGGTCCCTAACTACTATCTAAAGCGTACGGCTGGATACCCTTTCTCCACTTTATCTCGAAAAGTAGATGCCAATATAGTCGCTGGAACTCGAGGGCTAGACGCCAAAGTACCAGTTCCATATCCTGTATTCGTTTGAAGTTTCGTTTTTTGGTCACCTCTCGAATTTTAGGGTTACAGGAATTGGACCGTTTCAAAATGAGTTAACCGAGGGAGTTCAATACTAAAAGTACTGGGAGTTGGACGGCCTTAAAGCCTCTGGCGAGAAAATCGCGATGCGATCTCGGCATCCTCTGAGCCATCGCCTATTACTGGCAAGCACTGGGAAGACGCCCCACCTTTTTTTTAAGCGAAAAAATGTCTGTACATGAGCTCTCTCACCAGCCGGTCGTTCAGGCTTTTGCCTACGCTTATCGTTCATCTTTGTTTCGGTAGTGAGCGATGAAAATGGGGAGAACAGGAGGGGATATGGACGCAACAACCCTTCCACTTTCTCACCAGTGCTGAAGGAGTCACCCAGTCCAGGACGATGCGTCACGTTAAAGGGAATTGCGATGGGAACGAATTTGACAGGTGGAATATCAAAAATACCCTATTGCTGATAAGCAGCTTTGCAAGGTAGTTGAACAGAAGTCGCACGATGATAAGGGGGAGTTGTGGAGAATTGAACGACGATAATATTAGTAGTAAAAATAAAATATTTAGCGGTTGCGCTTTTTTTCATTGTTGCATTTTCATAGATCTAATTTTATGACGTCGAGTATCGCTCCAAAAGTTGACACTGGAACCTTTGCCATAACTCTCGTGGTGTAGCCGGAAGAAGTTTGTTTTGTCAAAGTTGAACATTACGTACATACTCTTTAGTCTTGAGAGTTAGAGGCTTTTAGCGCTGTTAATTGGATCATGCAAGTCTCCCACCAGCATCAAAATGACAACACCTGAATCAGATTCATGGGGAATTAACAAATACCCATGGATTTCATCGAGAACAGGCGGCAGCTTTATTCTAAACAAGGTCCCATTCATGTTAATAAAAATGGCTAGATTTGAAGAGGTGTAGAATTAACTAGAGGTTGTCTAAAACGTATTTCTGATTTGGATTTTTATTTATTTTTCATGGCAGCTGCCAGCGTTTGCGAGGTCGATTGTATTCATCCGGTTGTTTAAAATGCAACCGTGGAAAAGTTAATGGAGTACAAAATCAATTTTTTGTGAAGCATACTACATTAAAATCGTATCTGGCAGGTTGATGTGGGATTCTGTGTAATGTCAGATATAGATATTGGGTGACGTAGTGTCAATTTGTAACATAGCAACGAGTTCGTGAAACATCTTTCTCAAACCTCAGAAATGACCAATATGCGGAGTGCTTCCCACGAACATCTGCCATTTTTCATGGGAACTACTAAATTAAATCAAAACCGCTCCACATAATTCTCCGATCTCAAAATTGTGATGGTCGTGTCCTCAATTTAGTGTACAAAGGATCGCAAGGGGTTAAAGGATTTGTTTTGAAGTGTCATTCATGGATGGGCATTGCGCTAGTTGGGACGGGGAATTTTAAGCTTAAATGAACCCCTGCAGGCACGAACCCCTGCAGGCACGTTTTTGAGCCCCAAAACTTTAATCATGTTCCAGTTACACCTGAAGTGTTTCCCCGCATTCAGGAGACGTCATTAAGACAATGACACAATTCGCGTTTTAACTTAAAGAGGCTTTGAAAATTCGCATGGTTCAAAATTAGAATATGTATCAGAATTTGATAAGTGAAGTAGAACAAGTAGAAGAAGAGGAATGACTGTACTCGTCCTCGTTATTACGAGTCATTGTCGGTGACCTATATATAATGATCTATGGTAGACTTTATTATGTTGGTCAAGTAAGTATGTGATCGTTCTCTAAGCACTAGAGTAAATCGAACAGAATGATTAGAGGGTAGGTCTTCACAGAGGCTTGTCGAATCAGTATTACAAAACAAGGTAGAATAGAGGGATCGCAAGTCGAATTAACTTAATATATAGTTTGGTATGTACGGCTGAATGAAATATTACACTAAATATTATGGGCAAAAACAGATCGCTTAAATCTGCTTCTATTTTTTGCCCTTTTTCTTGACACCTTTCCTCTATACAAAGTAAACAAAACCAATCATGTTATGCAACAAAAATGAAAAAACCAAACGAAAAGAAAAACTGAATGAGAACCATGCAACAGAAAATGAGGGGTATAGAACTGGCATCATGTCGTAAAACAGGGGATGAAAGGGCCGTTAAAAGGTAGAAAGGAGTACGAGTTATATGCAGAGTTGATATGGGGTGGATACTTAGGGGAGCGTGAAAGTGTCGGACTCTTCATAAACCGGACCGCATATCAATGGGAGCCGTGGGTGCCGGAGTGCCAGGGCGTATTGCAGACAGAGAGCAAAGGGGAGCGCACCAAGGTTGATTCATGAGATGCGCGTCGTGTTGTGTGAGTCGAGATTAATCAGGTCTCTCTGCATATTCCTCCGAAAATGAAATCACTGGCAATGGAACATAAGAGATACCCGTGTCGATTTCCAATCTTTTTCTAACAATCGCTTCTTCAAGCATCCACCTCATTCTCAGGTGTTGTTTTCGACTGAGAAACCACGCATTAGCAGCTGCAGTCTCGTTGTCACAACGGCTGACAAGGTTCTGGAATGCGTTCTCATGTACTTGGGCCACTTTGCTGGCTTTCTTCTCCTGCTTGGACACTGTTTCTAGGTATTTCCGTTCTTGGGTGTCTCGGAGCACTTTGATCTTTGATATATGGAGAGTATCCATCCTGTCCCGTTCGCGGTACTTTTCGAGTAGATGGTCCCTATCTTTTTGAGTGACTTGGCGGTGGGGTTGATGGATATAAGAGTGGTTGTCAACATCGTTATTCGAAAGCCTGGATTCGGAATTTCGCGGAGCGTTACTGAGGTAACCTTCCATATGGAGGATACGCATCTCTAGAGTTTGCCTTTCTCGCCGTAGTTCCTCAACTAGATCGAGTTCAGCGCTAAGTTGAAGCTCCTCAAGTCGATTTGCTTCTTGCATATTCTAAAAGTGTAAAGTTAACACAGAATAATACGCAGGTTTAAAACCTAAAGCACACTAACCTGGTCATCTATATCACGTTCCACTTTCTCATATTCCCTTCTCTTCAAAGATTTCGACTCTTCGTGCCTGAGATAAAGAGTTTCGAGTGCTTCTTCCTTGAATGCCAGGAATCGGTCTCGTTGGGCTTTCTGAGCACTACGCAATTCTTGTATTTTAGGGCAATTCAAAGTCTTCATCGTAGCAAGCTTATCAACATTATTGCTATGATTGAACGAGGGGTTATTATTCGACTGCGGGGTCTGGTTTCCCAATTTGGACTGCGAATCTAGGAATTGTAGGTTGTCAAGGCCTGGCGTGATGGATCTGGTTTCGGACCATACAGGAGAGGTAGGTGTTGAGACGGCTGTAGCGGAACGCCTTCTAAAATTCGGAAATTTTCCAAAGGATAACCTGAAACTACTAAACCTCACCCTTCGCTCACGACTACCCTGTTTCACGAACGATAAACTTGACCTGTAACACTGTCCGGGCCTTGACACCGGCGAAATGGATGGCTGCTCTACAACGGAGCCGTGCGATGTTGGGCGCGTGGAAATGGAGGTAGCAGAATACATACTGCTGGCGATTTCATTGCTTGAGGATATAGTTGGCGGAGAAGACACATTATTGTTATTTGCATGAGGAGAGCTGGTTGAAGTAAGGGGAGAAGATTCCAAGTTAAGGTGAGAAGACTGATTGGGAAAATGGTTCGCCAATTGGGACATATCGAACTGTGGATGTATAGCATTAGAGGTCTCTAAACCAATCCCTTGGGCTATACTGATAAGCTCTTTTTCCACGTCTTCTTCCGCCTGGCTAGGTGGGATTTGTAGAACAACCTCATGGTATTGGCGTTGGTTGACTGGGGGGCAACTGCTAGGTTCGATGTCGTTTTCCACGAAGGATAGTGGTAAGCTTTCTGGCGCCATCGCCGTCGCTATGTCCATGGTTTAAGATCGATAGAGGTAAACCAGCAAACAGGGTACCCGCGACGGCGTTTCGAACCGACAATCGTGATGGACATTAGATAGGGGCAAGGGTGACGAAATGATTAACTAGTAGGGATAGATGGCTGGCGACGACTTGCGAGCCGCTAGCTCTCGAACTCAAGGGGTTTCGAATGCACCTGAGATGGGATATGAAAAAAGGTTCTAGATGCAGTTTGGCCGGAGAAAGAGGTTGGAAAGACTGGATGCGAGCTGCAAGCTGCAACACAAACAGGTTTGCGCCCATTCCAACCCAAAAAATCATACAGGGCGGGATGCACGGGATGCACGTGATTCTCAGCAAAAGGAGTGGGCCGAGGATAAACTAGTCCTTCTTTAGTAGGTGACACATGCGGATTAACCGATTTGAGCTAGATTAACGAGGGAGGAGTTGACCCCGACTTGGCGTCGTCCAAACCGCGGTGGAATAGGATAAAATCTGAAAGAGGCAGAGGGGCAATTGACAGTGTGTGTACGCCTCTACGAAGTGGGTTTGGCATAAAAACACTAATGTTTGGTAAAGCTGTTTGTCTGGCATTTGCCAATTCCAGCATGACAGCGTAACCCCTAGCAACCTTCAGCGGATTTATCTATTCTCACCTAACCGTGCCATGCTTACTCACTCTCTCTAGTGAGTGTGCCACAGTTAGACTGACCGTGTGACCGTGTCTGGGACCAGGACCAGATTTTTTGATAGTCTCATTACCAATTTGACTGATCCCATTACACAGTTTTAACATTAGATAGTAGTCTCATACTGTCTCAGTGAGACTTACTGTCTACTCTTATCACATTTTTTAAATGAGATCATGATTTTCACTTCTCAATTTAAATTATTTTTATTACTTTAAATAACTTTAAATCTTATTTAAGTATTATTAAAAAATATTACTTTTTAAAAAATTAAAAATAGTCTAAAAAACCTTAAAATGTCTAAAAATAGTAACTTTATATCAAGAATGAAATTAAATGAGATTAAATGAAATCACTTTCTTATTTTTTTCAAGTCATGATTTCATTTTAAGATTTGATATATAGTCACTTTACATGCTTTTTTAATAACTAGTCTCAGCAGAATTCATATCAAGAAATGTATGAGATCAGATTAAATGAAATTAAATGTGAAATTCATAGTTTCAGTAGTCAGTCTATCTGTAAGTTTACTCTTACAGTGTGTGTGTAATTTCATCTGAATTATGCTACTCTTGAAGATTTTGTTCAACTGTCTTATTAAATCAGATGTAAGAGTATTCTTCACATCTTCTAAGATTTTAACTGCTGTATTAATTTAATGATATAGTTTTGCAATCATCTCTGAGAAGATTAATTATAAGAAGACAGTTAATAATTGATCTGCAGATAACAGAGTAAACTTTAAAGTGATTATATACATTATTATCACTATTGTATATGTTGAGATTCAGAGCATCATTAATGATAAAAGGTCTCAATTAATTGAGAATTATATTGTGATTAACTGAATACATTTCATAGTTAGTAAAACCAGCTCTTATAGTATTAGATTTAAATATTTACAGTTGAACACTCTTCAGATTAGTAAGAAATTGTCTGTCATCATACTGCTTATATCTGTAGTAGACAGCCTCATTAACTGTCTTTGTATAATAATACTTATACTGCTGAAAAGATATATTATCAAGAGATTGTAGAATATAACTTATATAAGATGAGAATTCAAACAGAATAATCTTATAAAGATTACAGTATTGAATAAATTCTTCTATGAAATGAGAATTATAATTATTCATTAATGGCAGTTGATAACTACTTATTTGACACTTTTTTATCATCTTATTAAACTGCTTGATTCATTCAAATTCAATCTCATCATTTGTAAAGTCAGACTCAGATACAGTGATAATGTAGTTATTAGATAAGTTGAAGTATATATATCAATTCTCTAGATGAATCTTTGATTTCATTATAATCAATGAATTCAATACTGTGTTATCTGTATTAATACACTTCATCACTGTTATTAATCTGCAGAAGTATAATAACTGTATAACAGAATTCATGTCTTTAAGAGCAGTTATAACTCACTATTCATATTCTTCTTCTTCTTGAAATTCAATCTCATCAAAGTTGTAGATATTGCAGTGAAAAAAATGATATTAATTGAAGACAGCTTTATATCAATTAAATCAGTTAATAATGAAGCTTATATTCTCACAAGACACTTATTTTGAATTCATGAGCTTTTGCTTAACTCATTCATAATCTGACAGACATTTAATGAATTGATATACTCACATCTTGCTTACTATGAGAGATGCAGTCTCTGAATCTGTATAATGCTGTCTTAATATACAGTTCACAGCAGCTTTGATATACTTGATAATAAGCAGACAAAAATTAATATTCAATTAATAAATTCATATCTTAATTATCTCTTTCTAACTGTCATTCAATACTCAATTCAGTGAAACTCTTATAGTTCTTGATTTCTTTCTGTTAATTCTCTCATATAAGATAGTATATAAGACTTTGAATTCTTGTAACAGAAATGTGATTTTTAATTTTAAATTATTTTTATATGTGTTAATAGCTCTTTGCAACTGCTTCTCAGTGTAATTAGAAGATTTAGACATGATTATAATTAATAATGATTATTTGAAGATAAAGAATGAAGATATTGAAAATATTTTCTATACAGTGTGATTTTCTGTACACTGTGATACACTCACTAGAGAGAGTGAGTAAGCATGACACAGTTAAAGACTAAGATATCAATTGACAGATCTTATACTATTGATGAAAATGATCATCAGATTACTTCCGTAGGCTCATTTTAATACTATTTATAAGTATAAGAGAGGATGTTTTAGCGTTCTCTTGACTATTAGAGAATCTTAACAAGCATATTGAGATTCAATTTAGCTGAACCTCACACTGTGTACAGAAATGATTGTAAAACTATCTTAATGCATATGAGTCTCTGTGTATAAAGACATTGCAGAGCTAAGCTCAAAACAGAAGACTCTGTAAGATTGATTTTACAGCTTATTAATAGAAGGAATAGAACTGTAACTGCAGTGAAAGTATGTCTGTAAAAGTGAAATAAGATTGACTTGAGAATGAGTTGAATAATGATATAGATAATTAATGAAAGACTGAAGAGAGATCTACAGAACTGAGAGATAAATTAATTATCAAAGATAATGACTGCAGCTGTTTTCTCAATTAAGTTAAGAATGAAGTTAATAAGAGATATTCTCTATAATATCTGATAATACAGTGAGCTCTTCAAATGATAGTTTTCTTTTTACAGACTGCTGTTAATAAAGATGTATCAGAACTATAAATCTCACAGTGATAAAACTTAATCTCAGATAATATATCTATTTCAATAGACTATTTACAGGCTTAAGAGACTACTATTGATTGTATGAAGTATTAATATATCTAGAATAATAGAGAGAGTTCAGACTTATTTATCACAGAATCTGTAACTGTAGAAGAATCTGATTTTACTATATATATTCATTTACAGTTCTACACAGTGTAAAGAGATAATCAGTGATAGAAAAGATATAATAAGAGAAGATTACAATACCTGAGTTCTCTGAGTGTGACATTGAAGATAGATAGCTGTAGAAGTAGTAGAACACTGTAAAGAAATAAATTAATTAAGAGACTGGTTTTGTAAGCAGTAAATACAGACTTTTAACACATTATTCATTCTTGAGAATCTATGAGAGATAATTGATCAGATACATTATCTATTCAAAAATCTGTACAGAGTAAATTGTTAATCAGATATGTTATTTATTCAAGAATCTGTATAAAGTAGATAGTTAATGAGATGTATAATCTATTATTCAAGAATCTGTACAGAGTTAGATAATATAATAGTACAATGTCACGGGATTACGCTTTGCTTAATTCTACACCAATCAGTGGGCTGTATTCGCGCCAAGAACCTCAAAAAGGAAATTCTCCACTTTTAATGACCACAGTTTTCATCATATATTTGCTTCGCTTCGCTCCACAAATTAAAAAACGCATCAAATATAACCTCATTTGTACTCTTGCACCCGAAGTTTATCCCGACTGACATTTTAAATATTATGTTCAAGAGTTCTCTCAACATGTTGAAGTCATCTCACTTATTCATTTGTTTCTGACAAGCGCATTTTTTCCATTGTAATAGCTCTGCTTATATGCATGAAGAAATACAGATTAACACTCAATGAGAGCATGCTCAGCCACCACTATAGCGATTGAGATCTTTATGTCAAAAATGAATCATGTATTGTCAGCAGTTGTAACTATTTTTAATCAGCTCTAATCAGAGATATTGTAAGAAATCCCGCTCTGTGGTTCGGAAGAACGTACGACCGCCGGATAATAACGCGGCCGCTTCTGAATACACTTACGAATGTAAAGGGGCTCTAGCGGCCACTAAGTAATTTAGTATAACATATATAAGAAGCCGGCGTATGCCTGTAATTATATGCTGGCTCAAGAAACCTTTGAATCACATCTGATAGCATGTCTAAAAATCAGTGAGAAGTGCAGGCTTCTTCAGAACATGATAATTTCATCTACAAAGTGATTTATAGTTATCATGCCAGAGTGGTTCTAAAAAAACATCTCAGAATGAGAGTGTACAAAGAAGTAATGAGTAAAAGAGTATTCAATTGATGCTACTCTACTCTACTTGTTAAGAGAAAACTTCATACTCAGATAAATACTATATATACAAATATAATGAGATGTGAGAAAGAAAATAAGAGTAATGAATCAGATTCAAAGAAGTTCACTATCTACTTAGAAGAATAATAAAAGAATAATTATTATTGAAATTGTATAATAATAATAGATAACAGAAATCATAGAATAATAGACACTGTATAATTAATAAAAATCTTCTGAAATGAACATCTTCTCTAATTAATATAAATACTCTTCTCTGCTATCTTTAGACTGGCTGCTGAGATTATAAATTTCATATTTAATCTCATTTAATCTGATCTCATACATTTCTTGACATGAATTCTGCTGAAAGTAGTCATTAAAAAAACATGCAAAGTAACTATATATGAGATTTTAAAATGAAATCATGACTTGAAAAAAATGAGAAAGTGATCTCATTTAATCTCATTTAGTTTCATTCTTGATATAAAGTTACTATTTTTAGACATTTTAAGGTTTTTTTTAGACTATTTTTAATTTTTTAAAAAGTAATGCTTTTTGATAATACTTAAATGAGATTTAAAGTCATTTAAAGTAATAAAAATAATTTAAATTGAGAAGTGAAAATCATGATCTTATTTGAAAAATGTGATAAGAGTAGACAGTAAGTCTCACTGAGACAGTATGAAACTACTATTTAATGTTAAAACTGTGTAATGAGATCAGTTGAATTGATAATGAGACTATCAAAAAATCTGGTCCT